GGTTTGGCTCAGCGGTTAGAGCGTCAGCCCACAGACCAAAGAGTCTCAGGTTCGATTCCAGTCAAGGGCACGTGCCTCAGTTGCAGTTTGATCCCTGGCCCTGGTCGGGTCGTGTGGGAGGCAAGCAGTCGATGTATCTCTCTCACATTGATGTCTCTCTCTCTCTACCCCCCCCCCCCACTCTATCTGAAGATAAAATGAAAAAATATCCTTGGGTGAGGATTAAAACAAAACAAAACAAAACACAGCCCCTGGTCAGTTGAGGGCTGCTAGGAAGGCCCAGGGCTTGGGGGAGTCTAGTCTCAGCTATTAAAGGTGGTAAAGAAACATTCCTTGAAGAGGCAAAGAATATACGAATAGTAATCAAAACAGTTGGTACTGGCATAAAAAACAGACCTATAGATCAATGGAACAGAAAAGAGAGCCCAGAAATAAACCCACACCTTTAGAGTCAATTTATATTGGACAAAGGAGACAAAAACATACAATGGGGTAAAGATGGTGTACTCAATAAATGGTGCTGGGAAAATTGGGAGAATTGGGAGATACATGCAAAAAAATGAAACTAGACCACCTTCTTACACCATACACAAGAACAAACTAAAGGTAGATTAAAGGCTTAAATGTTAGACTCGAAACCATAAAATCCCAAAGAAAACATAGGAAGTAAAATCTCAGACATCTCTCATAGCAATTTTTTTTCTAATATATCTCCTCAGGCAAGGAAAACAAAAGAAAAAATAAACAAGTGGGACTACATCAAGCTAAAAAGGTTTTGCACAACAAAGGGAACCATCAACAAAATGAAAAGACAACCCCTTGGACGGGAGAACGAACATGTTCACCAATGACACATCTGATAAGGGGTTAATATCCACAATTTATAAAGAACTTACACAACTCAACACTAAAAAATAAATAAAAACCAGTTAAAAACTGGGTAAAGGACCTGAATACTTCTCCAAAGAGGACATACAGATGGCCAATAGACATATGAAAAGATATTCAATATCACTAATCATCAGAGAAATACAAATTAAAACCACAATGAGATAGCACACCTGTCAGAATGGCTACCATCAATAAATCAACACACAGGTGCTGGCGAGAAAAGGGAGCCCTCGTGTACCATTGGTGGGAATGCAGACTGGTGCAGCTGTGGAAAGCAGTATGGAGTGTCCTCAAAAAATTAAAAATGGAGCCCTGGCCAGTTTGGCTCAGCAGTTAGAGCGTCGGCCTGCGGTCCGGAGAGACCCGGGTTCGGTTCCCACTAAGGGCACGTACCTCGGTTGCAGTTTGTCCCCGGCCCTGGTTGGTTGTGCGGGTGGCAGCCACTCGATGTGTCCCTTCACATCGATGTTTCTCTCTCTCTCCCCCTTCCTCTCTCTCCCTCCCACTCTATCTGTACAAAAAATGGAAAAATATCCTCGGGTGAGGATAAAAAATAAAAAAAAAATTAAAAATGGAACTGCCTTTTGACCCAGTGATTCTACTTTTAGGAATACTATATCTGAAGAAACCTGAAACACTAATTCGAAAGAATACCTGCACCCCTATGTTCACTGCAGCATTATTTACAATAGCCAAGATCAGGAAGCAGCCCAAGTGCTCCTCGGTAGACGAGTGGATATAAAAGCTGAGGTACATTTGCACAATACGATACTATTTGGCAATAAAACAGAAGGAAGTCTTAGCCTTTGCGACAGCATGGATGGACCCGGAGAGCACTGTGCTGAGTAAAATAAGCCAGTTAGAGAAAGACAAGTGCCACATGATCTCACTCATACGTGGAATCTAATGAACAAACTGAACTAACAAGCAAAATAGAGACAGATCCACAGCGAGCAGGCTGACAGCTGTCAGGGGTGAGGGTTTAGGGGCTGGGTGGGAGGTTGGAGGGATTGAGCAAAAATGAGAAAAAACTCAAGGGCACAGACAATGGCATGGTGATTGCCAGGGGAAGGGATGGGAGGAGGTGGAGGTGGAGGAGGGGATGGGGGGACAGATGGTGATGGAAGACTTGTCTTTGGGTGGTGAACGCACAACAGTGTACAACTGTGTTGTGGAACTGTGCACCTGAAACCTTGGAACTTTGTTAACCAGTGTCACCCCAATACGTTCAACAAAAAGGAAAAAACAAAAAAAGATTTAAAATAAAGAATAGTATGAATGAGTTCGGGAATGATAGAATGGAGGATTTTGTGACTCGTGGGACAGAAAGTTGGAAGAAAACAGGAATGGGGCATAAATCAGGAGAAACCACAGAACACCAGGGGGATCAGAAGAATGGAAACTAGAATTGGCCGTGGTTGGCGGGGGGCGGGGAGTGTCTTATTTTGGCCAGTGGCTGAAGCAAGCCCTGGCTGGATTTCCATTTACTTGGCCACGGTGTTACCAGGTAACGAACCCCCACTTACCTTGGGAAGATGGTGGACACTGAAGACACGCCATGTTCACCCACTGCCTGGATAAGACAGCTGAGGTCCTTCCTTGCCTGTGCTACATGTGCATCTTAGGCTGGCAGGGAGCTATGCTCATCTAAGGAGCTCAGGCTGATGATCACCCACCAAGCTGGTCCCGTGCCAGAGGGAAGAAAGCTCTGCAAGGTCTTTCCTTGGGGTCCTGGCTTGGATGTGACTTCCTTTCATAATTCATTGGCCAGAATGAGTCATACGCACTCCACCACCACCACCAGCACACCATGGGGCTAGCGAGTGCAACCCTCCCATGTGCCTGGGAGGTGGAGAATCGGACGGGCACTGACTGCCCCTAGTTTAGCTTTAGTTCCACATAAAGCGTAGACGAGCCGGTGTCCGCTCAGGATCACGGACAGCAGGTAGCAGGGGACCGGGAGCCAGGTCTCCAGTCTCCCAGCCCCTGTTCCACAGCAGCCTGGATTCTGAGGCTTTATCTTTGGGAGATTTAAGAACTCTTCAGACTGTCCTGGAGTCAGACTTTTGTTAATGTTCCCCTCCCCCCAAGAGAGTTAACTGTCCTTGGCTGTTGCCAGTCTTCCCATAATGTCCTTGAGAATTTGTTTTCTTCCCAGGGGTTAGCTCAGCTAAAGAAATATCCCGAGACAGAAGTCTCTGGAGTACCACTCTGTGGTTTTTCTCCCCAGCCTGACTCTGGCCAAGTGTGGGACCAATGGAGTTGACACCTTCTGCATACTTTGCCTCCTTCTCATTGGAGTTTCTATCACACAATCCTCCATGCTCCCACAGATCCTTTCTAACAGCACTCTAATATAAAAGGACACTTGTCATACCTGAAGTACCTGAGCAGATAGTTCCCTGCTTCGGGAACCTGTCCAAGAACCCCCAATAGCCCTTTCTGCACAGCCGTCCATGACCTGAACTCTGACAGAGAACTTGGACCTCATGAGGAACATACGGAGCCATTAAAAACCTGGCAACCCTAGCCATACTCCATTTAGCTTCTCAAAATGGTTCCTCATCAGATTTTTTGCTTAGAAAACTCAAGAGATTCAATTGCTCCCCCAAATACTGGCAAGCCAGGACAGACTTAAGGAGCTGGGGAAATCGGACGTTGGTAACTGCTTTGCAATTGTGACTGAAATCACAAGGAAGAGGAACTAGGTTACTGAAAAGAATTTAGGACAATAGTTCTCAGACTGGTATAAGAATCATTTCTGATACTCAACATTTATAGTATAATAAACACATGCAGCCATTTTTTAAAAAGTACACCTGTATGTTTAGGTGGAGTAAGACTTTCAGACTATTGTTTTAGGGGGGAAAAAGCGACACACTAAGAAAATTCAGAGGCTATGTTACCATTTATATACTAAATATAGATATATGCTCAAACACCCATATTTGGAAGAATATACAAGATGTTGGTAAATGTTTGTCTTCAGAGAACTGGGAAGCTGGGGAGTGATCACGTCGCATGTTTTGAATTGTGTGCGATTTGTAATACCTATTTTAAAAATCTATTACCAATTCAGTGTGGTACCCTAAAACAGAAAAGGCATTTGTGGAAAACTGGTGACGTCAGAATAGTCTGTAGTATCGCACCAAGGTTAATTCCCTAGTTTTAACAAACGCACCAAATGTAGCTTTGGTGGTGGGTTTCCTGGTTCATAATTCCGTCCTACCCACTTCTCCCCACTGTTAGAACGCACTCAAAGAATTCTGAACCTCTGCATTTTCTCAGTTCTCTGTACCTGGATGTCCCTCGTTCTCTCCTTGTCCTTGGAAGCTGTACTCGCTCTTTAAGGCTAAGTTCACCATTTACTTGCTAAGTGTACTCCTAAGACATGGTATCTAGACTGTCATTTTCCCCATTTCACGCTTATGAACTGGGTTCCCCAGGAAGCATAGTCTATGATGAAAGTTAAGAGTGCAGTTTACTAGGGATTAACATCTGTGGAAGGGAAGTACACCAACACTGGGCGGGGGAGAAGCGGGGCTGGGATGCAGTCCTAACAAAAGCCTCCGCAGACCCCACAGGGAGCTCTGAAGCCAAGATGCCCTTCAAAGCTGTCCCAAGTTGCAATGAGAGGGATAGGGCGCTTAGACCCCTAGCCCATAGATCACTGGATATGGGCCACCTGGGAAAGGGGACTTGACCTTGGCTAAGGCAGGTCTTAAGCAAAGATACTTAAGAAAGTGGACCAGCTGAGGGCAACTGGGGAATAAGTCCTTCACTTTGGAAGGGGGTTGTCTACCATCTCACTCTAATTATGTCCTACGCCTTTACTCTTAGTGCAAGGACTAGAGTACCATTGTTTGTTTTCAAAGTGGAAAGACTGAAAGTACCTCAGCTTCCAAAAGCAGGGGCCTGGACCACAGAATATGAGGTTCCTTTCCTCACTCAGTTCCCAGCCCAACATGCAGAGACAAATCGTCCCTGTGATTAAAGGTTTACAGAGAGAATAAAAAACCTAAGAAATTCATCCTCCATTTGGCAACGATGACGAGATTTCATTCTAAAAGAGATAAAATTTCTTAGTCAATAACTTTTTAGGTCGTTTGTCTTTTCAAGCAAATGAATACTTTTATTAACATGGTGAATTTTTTTTAAACACATGGTAGGGTTTTGACCTCAAATACTTGTCAGGTCTGCTATTCAAATGAACTTCTAGCTGGACAACTTATGAACCTTAAAGATACCTAGTCCCTGTCTATTTTAGGGTCCAATGCAGATAGATAGCCCTTGCTTTCCTTCCCCAGCCCCTCAAGGGCCTTTGCAAATCTCTCTCATTTTATCCCCTGAAAGGCTTCAGGGTCTTACATCAAGTTGTACAGAATGCCAAGATCTCATCCGCTACTGGAGGTTCTATGTCAATGAAAGCTGAGTTAGGTTGTCCAAACAAACCGACCAGACAGGTTACATCAGATAGTGTGCCACGTAAAATTTAAATTTTGAACAAAATACATCTCTCCTCCTTTGGTCTCACAGAAAGAAATTCAAGTCCCAGAATAGACAAGGCCATCTTCCGCCTCCTTCTGATGCACCAGGCCCAGCCAGATCACCCCTTCCATTCCCGGTGAAGTCTGGTCCCTTCGTCAGCTTCTTCCGCGCTGCTGCATGGAGTCATCTTCGAGAAGGAAAGCCGCTCCTTCGGCACCTCCAGAGCTGGAGAACCCCAACCCTGAGCTGTGTCCCACACAGACCCAAAGTTCCAGGGAGCTATCAGGTCACACAAGAAAGAGCAAAAAGCACCTCAAAACTCAGAAATAACCGAAGCCCAGGAACAATGTGACTGCTGCGAGAGCTTACAATCTAGGCCCTACTCCTCCTATGCCGGAGCGCTTCCCGAGTAAAAGTTACTTCCCCAAACAGAAACATCAAACAGTCAAAACTCATATTGAGGTCATCAACCGCAGACCACAGCAGAAACGTAGTGTAAATGAGGACAGAGCACAGACAGAGAAAAGAAGGGAGAAAACAAAAGGCTCTCTGGTTTCAGCTTCTCCAGGGTGTCAGCCAATCTCCACCGGTGGACCAGATCCCACTGGCTGTGAACCTGAAGTGCAAGGCGAGAAAGCCAGCGTTAGGAGGCCACCCCGAGGGCCCGCACCCCACCCTCAGCGCCGGCCGGCCCGCGGGACCCCCTCCTGGAGCCTCCCGGCAGAGTCTGGGGCCACCTGCCGGGTGTCGGTCGGCCTTCCCCCTGAAAACCCCACCTGCTGGCCCTCCCCAGGGGCCTGCACTGTGCCTCTGTCCCCTCGGCGGCTGTGGGGCTGCTTATCCTGCAACTACCCTGCGCACCGCGACCTCAGGTTGCAGCCAGACACGTAGCCACAAACAAACATCTTTCCTAAGCACCGGCGCGGGAACTCCGGGGCACCTCGCGTCCCCGCTCCAGGAACGACGGGGCGCGCTCTACGCCCCCCCCCCCGTCCGCCCGTGGGAACGACGGAGGCGAACCGAGTGCGGGCCCCCGGCCCGCCCCCCGCCCCGCCGTACCGCCGCCCCGCGCTCAGGACGACTCGCTCTTCTCTATCCGCCGGACCAGCGCCACCAGCATCTCTGCCATCTTCGCGATCTCCTTGGCCTTCTCGTCGGCCTTCTCGCACCGCTTGGCCGCCCTGCCCTCGGCGCCGTCGTCGGGGCCCTGCAGGTGGTTCAGGGCGCTCTCCTCCGAGGCCTCCACCTGCGTCTTGATCTGGATGAGCATATTGTCCATCTCCCACAGCTTGCTCCGGTTGCGCAGGTACGCGCGCCCGCGCGCCCGGGTCAGCGCCGCGATGTCCTCGCGCATCTCGTGGATGACGGGCAGCAGGAACTGCTCGAAGTCCTCCTCGGGCTCCAGCACTTCCACCTCCTCGGGCTCCGCCAGCTCGACGACGTCCAGGGGCCGCATCCTCCTCGCTGCTGCGGAGAGAGCACGGGACTCGCTCTGCTTACCGCCGGGGCTCCAGAACGTGCTGCGCAACTTTCGCCCTTCGTAAACTTTTCGCCTCGGAGAAGCCACGGGAAGGAGCGACTTGCGAGCTGAGAAGCGGCGAACAAAATGGAGTCCCGGCCGTCAACCAGCTCCCTGCGTGTTGCGGCCCCGTTCACGACACGGCCGCGCCTCTTTACGGTCACGCCGCTGGTAGAACGAGGGGGCGGGCGCGCGCACGTCAACGGAGGGCGACGCAGCCAGCTCCTCCGCGACCGCGCGCACGCATGAGCACGCACGAGCACGCAAGCGCGCTCTCGTTCCTCATTCGACTCTCCCAAGCCCCGCCTCTCTGCTAGCCTGGCTTTGGGGTGAGCTCATCAGGTGCACGCTCTCCTCCTAGAGAGCTTCTCTAGCGCGGGATTAACACGTATTTAAGATGCAAACGCCATCTACCTACACGGAAAGACAAAAATGCTGCGCAACAATGTATTCAAAGGCGGTGACATCCCCCCCCCCCGCCCCCTAATCCTAATAGCCCCTACGTCTTCAGAATCAGGGCTCCGCAGGTGCGCATGTTTGTGTGGGCGCGCGTGGGCGTGCGTGCGCGCGCGTGTGTGTGTGTGTGATGGGGTGGTGTCTTAATCAACTATGTGTCCCTAAGGCCCCAAGCAAGCTTGGCACACATTAGTAAATTTGCCGCAACATCACTGTTTTCCAAAGACGTACAGATGGCCAAGAGACGTATGAAAAGATGCTTAATATCACTAATCATCAGAGAAATGCAAATTAAAACCACAATAAGATATCACCTTACACCTGTCAGAATGACTATCATCAACAGATCAACAAACAAGCGCTGGCCAGGATGTGGAGAAAAGGGAACCTGTGTGCACCATTGGTGCAGCTACGGTGGAGTTTCCTCAGAAAATTAAAAGTGGCCCTGGCCCCCCGTGGATCAGTGGTTAGAGTGTCACCCACGCATGGAAGGGTCAAGCGTTGGATTCTTGGTCTAGGGCAATGAACTTGGGTTGCAGGTTCAACTCCTGTCCCCAGTCAGGATGCCAGCAGGAGGCAACCAATCACTGTCTCTCTGGCTCTCTCTCCTCCTCCCTCCCACCCTTCCACTCTCTGAAAGTGAATGGAAAAAATATCTTCTGGTGAGGAATAACAACAATAACAAAATTAAAAATGGAACTGCCTTACAACCCAGCAATTCCACTCCTGGGAATATATCTGAAGAAACTGGAAACTAATTTGAAAGAATACATGCACCCCTATGTTCATTGCGGCATTATTTACAATAGCCAAGATCTGGAAACAGCCCAAGTGCCCATCAGCAAATGAGTGGATAAAGAAGCTGTGGTATATTTACACAATGGGATACTATGTGACCATAAAAAAGAAGGAAGGCTTACCCTTTGCGACAGCATGGATGGACCTGGAGAGCACTATGCTAAGTGCAATAAGCCAGTCAGAGAAAGACAAGTACTGCATGATTTCACTTATATGAGGAATCTAATGAACAAAATTAACTAATAAAATAGAAACAGACTGCTCTGGCCAGGTGGCTCAGTTGGTTGGAGTATCATCCCACACACCAAAAGGTTTTGGGTTCAATCCCCGGTCAGGGTGATTGATGTTTCTCTCTCACATTGATGTTTCTCTTCTCTCTCTCTCGCTCAATCTATCTCTCCCTTCCTCTCTAAAATCAATCAACATATCCTAGGGTGAGGATTTAAAAAAAGAAAAGAAAAGAAAGACTCACAGATAGAGAACAGACTGACAACTGTCAGAAGGAAGGGGTTTGCAGGGCTGGGTGGAAAAGGTGAAGGATGAAGAAAGAAAAAAACTCGTAGACACAGACAACAGCATAGTGATTACCAGAGGGAAAGGGGGTGGAGGGAGGTTTAAGAGGGTAAAGGGGGGATAAATGGTTATGGAAGGAGCCCTGGCCGGTTTGGCTCAGCGGTTGGAGCAACAGCCCACAGACCAGAAAGTCTAGGGTTCGGTTCCCGCTAAAGGCATGTACCTCGGTTGCAGTTTGTCCCCTGCCCCCGGTTGGGGTCATGTGGGTGGTGACCACTCGATGTGTCTTTCTCACATCGATCTTTCTCTCTCTCTTTCCCCTTCTCCCCTTCCCGCTCCATCTGAAGATGAATGCAAAAATGTCCTTGGGTGAGAATTTAAAAAAAATGGTTATGGAAGGAGACTTGACTTGGGGTGATGAACACACAATACAATATACAGTTGACGTATTGTAGAATTGCACACCTGAAACCTATATAATCTTATGAATCAATAAATTCAATTTTAAAAAGATAAATCAGAGCCCTTTACATTCAACACTGGGCACAGCTCTGTCTAGCAACAGCTGAAGAGAAGCTAATTCGTTCTGGAAGCTGAGCTCAAAGGAGTATTTTGAAGCTGATTGCTAAAGCCACATAAAATTATAGAGCATCTGATTGATTTTGTTTGGTTTTCATTTTTATGCACAAGTTAACTAAACCTACAGTCTAATGAATGGATCCATTTTAGGATGAATAATTTAGTGTGTAACTGAATAGTATGGTTAGGATAAATTGAATGTATACAGCTGTGAAATTTTAGTAGAGAAATGAGGAGACGGCAAGGTGAAGGGATCTCTCCCACTACTGCAGCCCTGGCGTGCAGACTTCCGCTGCATGCTCGGAACCCTGGCACTCTGAATAATTTTTCAAACCTGACTTACAATGTTATGTCTTCATTCTTTTATATAAGTTACTCCAGAATGTCTTCTGTTTAAAATGCAAGTTAAACTTAACTCGATTATTGAAAGAAAAAGCACTCAACACAGAAATTTAAGGGCAGATAAGTGAAACTTCTAGCCTGTTGACCTAGTCTCAAAGCAGCAAGAACATTTCAGGAATCCAGCCTGCCTCAGTGCCATGGGCTCGGTTTCTGTTCTCCACTCAAAGGGACACAAGTCCTACTTGTGAATGCAGCAACATTAAGACTGAAGAGAAACAAAAGTCATGAAATTCTCACTGTACTTTTTTTCACATTGAATTCTCTGTGGTAAGAATGCCCTCCCTTTGTCTAGGTAAGTGGTTCTCTGGAGCAGGCGTCGGAAAAATCACCTGGAAGGTTGTCCAGCTCCAGCTCCAGCTCCCAGCCTCCCTTGCAGCTAGGGCCCCTGCCTCAGGGTTTCTCATTCAGAGGTGCTGATGCTGCTGGCCTGGGGACCACACTGAAGACCACCGGGCTGAGCAAGCCAGGTTTGTCTTGTCACCTCCCCTTAAGCACCACCTCCTCCAGAAGCCTTCCTGATCTCCCTGGCGGGGTTAGCCACTCCTCAGGGCTCCCACAGGCATGACCCTGTCATGTCATTGTCTGCTTGCTTGTCAATGTCCAGACACAGTTATACTAGAGCATCTGGGAAGAGAAGGCAGAGAAATGGGAATGCGCACCGAGCGCTGCAGCCCGACACTCTCGCAGACTTCCAGGCTTCCCTCTTGTCTTCTTGACGGGAAGATTGCAATCACGAGCCAAAGTGCAGCGAAGCGAGCAAGAATTTATTGGCCGCAGCAAAAACACATTTAGATGGGACACATTAAATCTGGGAACCGTGGGACAAGGAAGGGCCCGGCGCAGAAGCGGCAGGAGAGCCCAGGCTGCGTCGGCTCCCTGGGAAGTCAGGGAACAGGGGCCTTGGAGACAGGGCAGGGGTGAGCCCGGGACGAGCTGCCCCTGCCCACTGCTCCCTGGTTGCAAGTCTCCTGGGGTCCCCGAGAGTTTAGGGGATGTGTGCTGTGGGGGAAGGAGAAGGGGAAGGGAATGTCACAGGAGGAGAACACACAGCTGGGTCCTTTGTCCTGAGGGGTTTTATTTCCCTTTTGCAGGTGGGAATCTTAGGGGAGGTGTCAGGGGAGGGTCTCAGTAGAATAGTCATCAGCTTTCCAGATGTGCTCTGTCAGGGTCCTGGTCTCCACTGATTGGTGGGCCCCAGGGCAGAGAGTCATTTAGTCAACGCAACGGATCCTGGGGCGGCCACAGCGTCAGCTTTGTCCGGTTTTGCTGCTTTTCTGGGCCTGGAGCTGAACTACAACAGAGGCCCAGATGTTATCTCTAGGGAGGAAAAGTTGGTTCTAACCTGCATGACTAGCAATATGAATGGTCAGGGGGTCCGAATTGCATGACCAGTGAAATGCTAGGGGAGGAAAGGTGACCCTGGGGGGAGGTCCTTGTTCTCCCAGTTCTGCCCCTTGCTAGGCACCTGGAGCCTTCCGCCCTGGTGACGGGCTGTGCCTGGCCATCGTCCTTGCTCGGCTCGTGCCTGTCTGCCTGCCACACTTCCAGCATCTCCCACCCTTTTCGATACTCTCCATCTCTGAGGGGTACCTATTATTATCACTATTTTGTTGAACACTGACCCAGGTTACAGAACTTGTCCCGGGTGTCACAGCAAATAAAAGACAGGAACAGGCATCAAAGCAAAGCCAGCATAAGGCTTTCTACGGTGCCAGGGCAGCCGATGCCAAGCCACTGGGTGGTATACCCGAGCCCTGCACAGATGTACTGGCTGAACGGTGTCCCCCAAAGTCATGTCCTTTCCAGAACCTCAGAATGGGACCGTATTTGAAAGTAGGGTCATCGCAGATGGAATAAGTTAAGATGAGGTCATGCTGGAGTTGAATTAGCTCTTAATCCACTGTGACTGGTGTCACGAGAAGAGACGGCCACACAGAGGGAAGAAAGCCATGTGAGGTCACAGGCAAGCCAAGAAGCTCCAAGGATTGCCAGCCACCACCAGAAGCTGGGAGGGAGGCTGCGTTATCCTTCTAGCCCGGAGAACTGTGGTTTGCAAATAGCCGCTAGGGGTCCAGGGCTCCCCGCCACCCTCCCCAGGAGCTGTGTGCCCCGGGCAAGATGAGGCCTCTGCCCTCACAGCTTCCTGGTACGTGATCCCTGACATTCAGCTTGTTCCTGAGAAACGCAGTTTCTGAACTCTCTCAACCTCCTCGCTCACCACGAGTCACCTCGGAAGTTGTCAGGGATAAAACTGCTCTGATGCGGGTCTGTCTCCGCAGTGAGTGGAGAGGAGTCAGGAGCGGGCTTGTTCACCCACATCCCTGCCCGGAGTCTCGGTTTCCCCTTCTGCAAAGCACAGAGGTTGCACAGATACTGAGGCCCCTCCTCTTCCTTCTCATTTCTCCTTCCTGCAGAGGCCTCCACCAGCTCCCAAATGTCTTTTGGGCAGGTGGCTGCAGGACCCCAGAACTGGGCATGACTCCTTACTCCGCAGCCCCCTCACTGGCCTCCCTGCCTCCAGCCTCGCCCTCCTCATCCAGCTGCCCAAGGGTCTCTCTCCCAGCTGAAAACCCTCCGGGCCACTGGCCGCGAAGCAGGGTCCCCTAGGAAGCTGTGGACCAGCCCAGCACAACCAGCAGCTCTGGGTGGCTGGGGCCCAGACGGCTGGCATTTAAAGCCACCCAGGAGCTTTGCTGTGCAGCCAGGGCTGGGCGGCCAGCCTGGAAGACAAGGACCTGGTGAGGCCAGCCTGCAGGCCCCTTCCTGATCTGTGAGCTTCCCTCTCCGCCCCCCCCCACCCCAGCTTTCCACTCCCCAAAGCCCAGCGCCCTGCACCCTTGCTGTTCAGCTCAGCAGTGCCCTCTCCTCCCAGCCCACCCCTCTGCAAGCTCTGCGTCACCTTCCAGGGGCCCAGTCCCCCTGCCTCTGTGTCACCTTCCAGGGGCCCAGTCCCCCTGCCTCTGCTTCACCTTCCAGGGGCCCAGTCCCCCTGCCTCTGCTTCTCCCCTCCTGCAGCTGCCTGTCCCTCCCTCCCTCTCAGGCTGGAGACCCCCTGAGGTCAGGATCTGGGTCTCCCTCATCGAGTGTCCCCCGCCCCGTGCAGGGACCTGAGGGCTTGCATGGACTTGCTGCACCAGCGTGGTTTGGGGCCTGTGCTGGCCGGGCTCTGTGCTGACCAGGGCCACACACGGGGTCTCAGCCATGTTTGCTGAGCACCAACATCCTTCTCAGACACCTCGGCTGGCCCGGCCCCCAGAGGCTGGCTGTTCCCACGCACACAGCGGCTCTCCCAGAACTTCCCGACCCCACACAGGCTCGGACCCACAGGAGACATTCCCAGAAGTGGGCACCTCCGGGCTCCATCTGCCTCCTGGGCAGAGCCTCCTGGCTGGTGACTACCCGGCTCCTGTGTGCTCACCGTTCCCCCTTCACCTGCTGGGCCTGCAGGAAACCGGTCATTCCAGTTCCCTGACCGCTCCGCACAGGCCGGGAGGGGCCGCATCCGGCCGGCTGGGTCAGCCAGGCAGACAGTGCTGGTGGGCAGTGGGTGACCAGGCTCAGGAACCAAGGGGAGGTGTGCGGCCCTGTTGAGGACAAAAGTCTCTGCTTTCCCTGTTCCGCCTGACACGCACATGTTGCACCAGCGAATAGAGGACTGTGGGGGCGATGAGCTGGGGGCCTGTGGGTGCTGAGGGCAGAGCAGGGTCCTTTCCCTGTCAGCCCGTCCAGGAGTCCACGTGTAGCCAGCGAGACAGCCCCTCCCAGCTGCCGGGGCCTGGGCCCACCCAGAGGACCGTCTCCTCACGGTCTCCAGCCCCGTCCGCTGCTCTGCCCATGCTCCTGTTACTCAGGCCCCCACGGAATCCGCAAGGGAGAACCCGGGAACCGTGACCGTGGGGTGATCCCACCTGGTCAGGGACAGAGAAGGCTTTTCTGCATGATGCAATTCAGTCTCCTTTGCTTTCCAGAACAGGTCATTTCTGTTACATTTGTGATAGAGTCAAGACCTGGGGGGACATTAGTTATCCCCCCACACGGAGACTCTGTGAGAGGGGACACCGCCCGGGGGACATTAGTTATCCCCCCACATGGAGACTCTGTGACAGGGGACATCGCCCGGGGGACATTAGTTATCCCCCCACATGGAGACTCTGTGACGGGACATCGCCCAGGGGACATTAGTTATCCCCCCCGCACAGAGACTCTGTGACAGGGGACATCGACCTGGGGGACATTAGTTACCCCCCCGCACGGAGACTCTGTGACAGGGGACATCGCCCGGGGGACATTAGTTACCCCCCCGCACAGAGACTCTGTGACAGGGGACATCGCCCAGGGGACATTAGTTACCCCCCCGCACAGAGACTCTGTGACAGGGGACATCGACCTGGGGGACATTAGTTACCCCCCCGCACGGAGACTCTGTGACAGGGGACATCGCCCGGGGGACATTAGTTACCCCCCCGCACAGAGACTCTGTGACAGGGGACATCGCCCAGGGGACATTAGTTACCCCCCCGCACGGAGACTCTGTGACAGGGGACATCGCCCGGCATACTCTTCTACTTGTGTTCACTCAGCAGCAATGTCTCACCACTTCTTTTAAGTCCTACAAGGAGCTCCATCCAGGGAGGCCTTCGAGCAGGGCCTGCTTTGACTTTTGCAGCAGGTTTGAAAACAAAGCTTGGGGGAAACCATACACCCATACTAAGTGTTCAGAAGAAAGCACCCGCTTTTTCAGCAAAGAGGCGGAAGGTGGGGGGGTGTCGGATCGGACCAGGCAGGCACTGCCCAGCAGCCCTCCCTGGCATGCCCGGCCCCTCCTGCCAACCAGGCCCAGGGAGGGCAGCTGCTCTGTGGAGGCAGCTCCAGCCGGGCCCTTTCCTGTCCCACGTCCTCACCCAGCGGGCCCGGGAGCTGTCCTGCGGGCCTGACGGACTCTCTGTGACCACACCTGAGCCAGGCGCCTCTGGGCCCTCACCCGGCAGCGCGTCCTGTCTGCAGGCTGCCTAGCCCAGCGGAAGCAGTGAGCTGTCACCCCCACCCCCGGGGAATCGGACGCAGCTCCTCGAATCCCACCCCTGCCCAGCAAGTCCCTGGCCTTCCTTCAGCAAGAATCCCCTACCCTTGCTGTCTCCTCTTAGTCGTCTTCCACCCACGGGCCTCTCCCCCAGCCCCACTGTCCCCTGGCTAGACATGGCCAGCTGCCCCGTCCTATGCGGTGTTGAGCCTGGTCTCTCCCTAGCTCCATTGTCATGAACAGCCTTGAGTAGCCTTCCCGGGGTTTCAACAAGAGTCAGAATCCCTTTTCCTCCAAGAGGCCGGTGACGCGGGGTCTAAGTCTAGCCCCCTTTTGGAAAGGTGGCCCATCCTCTGAGGAGGGTGGCGCCACCCTTCAGGGCTGGCGGGCGACAGACTCCAGACAGACTCCAGTGCTCGGCCACAGTCTGAAAGGCTGACTTGAGTGCGCCCCGAGGCTGGCTCTCCCCTTTGGCTGCACTGATAAGATCAGGACTGGGATTCCTTTGAGAGGCGCACCCTTCTGGTCGGGAGGCGACAGCCTGGGGGAACTCTGGGATCCTAAAAGGAAACGCCCAGCACAGGAGTGAACTGGCCCCTCCCTCTTCCCAAACGATCCCCAGAGGGGCCCTGCCAGGTCCCCTTGCAGGACACCTGGGAGGAAGCGACATGCCCAAAGGAGAGTCGATGCTGCCAGCCCAGCTGCTCCGAAGTGCCAGGCTGGTGCCAGGCCGCATGTATGCAGCTGGTTTGATCTCCCTGCGGTCCTGCCCCCAGGTTCTGTCCAGGCCCTCCCCCTGCCTCCACAGTGGGCGGCAGGGGCCCTGCAAGCTTCCCCACTAGGGCAACTAGAGGACGGAGTTCAAGCTCATCCAGCCCTGGCTAGTGTGGCTCGGCTGGCTGTGTGTCATCCCGTGCACCAAAAGGTCTCAGGTTCGATTCCCAGTCAGGGCACATACCTAGGTTGTGGGTTTAATCCCTGGTCCCGGTGCATATGGGAAGCAACCAAATGAAACAAACTTGACCCAGACCCCACACTCGGAGCGCTCCTGACACACACGGAGGCCCAGAGGAACCTTCTCCTTGTCTAACCCTGGGCCTGCCCTCCAGGGAGGGCTGCGGTGTGAGCTGGCCCGGGGGATGACTCACAGGGGTTCTGAACAGCAGCGGGCTCCTGGGCATAACTGTGCTCGGCCCACATTCCTTCACTCAACATCTCTGTCCACCCACTGAGCGCCCGGCCCGGCTGCTATTCACACGGACGGGGGCCAAAGGGCAGGCCCGCGCACTCATTAGTCACTCAGCAAACACTCGCCGGGCACCCACTTAACCCAGAGACCACACAGGTCCCCAGGTGGGGACACCACTGTAATTCAGTGAGGACCCTGAGACACAGGGAAGTGCAGCAAAATATGGGCCCACACCTATACCCAGGCCGGGCTGGGGGAGGGCTCCAGACCATGGCACCAGGAAGTTGCGACAATGCATCTAACTGGAGCTGAGCAATGCGCACGGGGAGGGGCAGGTGTGCTGAGCAATCCAACCCTGTTTGTCCCACCCTCTGTGTCAACACGAAGCTGGACCTTATAAAGCACCCAGAGGCCGCCGTGGGCCATTTCCTCAGCCACAGCAGCCATCGGGAGGACCGCGGGGGGACGAGTCCAGCACCATGTCAGAACTGGAGATAGCCATGGGCATGATCATCGACGTCTTCGCCCGGTACGCGGGGACAGACGGCAACGCGCAGAGCCTGAGCAAGGGGGAGCTGAAGGTGCTCATGGAGAAGGAGCTCCCGGGCTTCCTGGAGGTGAGGCACAGGGTCCGGGGCAGGGCTGTCGTGATGGGGAGCAGGGAGGACGTGGGGGAAAGAGGAAGGAGGGTGTGGAAGACAGAAGGGGCAGAAACTGTCAAGACCCATTTGCTCTAAGGGCAGCAGGAAGGGCGGCCAGTCCCCCTGGTGGAGGAATATGTCTGCGGCCCCAGAGCTGGGGACCGGGCTTCTCAGCAGGACGAGGCTGTGGATTCTCCCTCTGCAGGGGCCCCAGGGCAGGGAATGGGGCGAGAACCTGAGTGGTGGAAGATGGGGTAGGGGCACAGGGACGGAATCCAGGGCCATCTCTGGGAACTGTCCCTCTGCAAGGCTGCTGGCCACAAACATCCCTGTCCACCGTCTGCTTGTTCGCCAGTCCCCGGTGCCTGATGTTAGGGGGCCTGGCAGGGATACAAACGAGGAGGTCCCATCCTGCCACCTGTCTGTCCACAAGGGGCCTCCCCAGGGCACTTAAACAGAGGGCCTGCCCCCCTGCCTCCTCTCCCTGCTCTCCTTCCCTCCTGCCCTCCCCTCACGTCCTTCTCCCCACTCCACCTCCACCCACTCTGCCCGCCTGCCCGCTAAGGCCTGTGCTGACATGGAGTCCCCTTGGCCATATACTACGCTTCTCTTTCCCTGGACATGCAAGCAACGAGGATATACTTTTAAAAAATAAAATGCGTTTGTTTTTCTCTATTATAAATTTGTCTGTGGCGGACGATGTAAAAATACAGAAATGTGGAGGGAAGAAATCCCCCCACACACAGCCTCTCCCCATGGGAAAGTCGATGTGAATGAATTTCTAATTTACGTGCAATTCCACTTCTTTCCTGACTTAATGTGGTAGCGCGGGCTCCCCGGCTTTGACCCTCATGCAACACCCGGCCCCACCCAGGTGGTCCTGGGAGCACGTATTGAGAACCCGCGAGGCCAGGGATTCTCAAACGTGGGTTACAGAGTTCCCAGGGAACCCGGCAAAGCAGGGGGCTTTGCCCTTCCACGGGCCGGGCCCCCAGCTGATGCTGACGCCCCGCAGAGTTGGAGAAGCGTGCGCTCAGCAGAGTCCCCTGTGGTGGTGGCGCCGAGGCCCAGCCCGCGCCTGGCACGGCCTGAGCATCCTACGCTCTGGGCAGCTGTGGGGCTACTTGGCGCCACCAGGATTTGATCACATAGAACTTGCCGGTTCCGGGGGCTGGGCCGCCAGCGCCCCCTGCTGCTGCTTTGGGGTCTGCACTGTGGTGGTGCTGGGTCCCCTCCTGCGCTCGGCGCGCTCTGCCGCGTGAGCAGGCTGACACCTCACCCCACCCTCTGCAGGAAGACCTGGGGCTCGGTGCCTCGTCTGACCCCCGATTCCCCCTTCTCCCGGGGGCAGTGGGGTCCCTTCCGCCCTCTGCGCTCTCTCTTCGCCTGTAGCCGGTGATGCACCTCCCTGCCTGGGGGATGAGGCGCAGGGGTGTTCGCTGCCCGCACGAGGTGGTGTTCAGTAAACGTGGCCAAGAGTTCCCATAGGCCGCACCCACAGAGCTAGTGGTGCCGGGGAGGGGCTGCGAGTCCGTGCCTCCCTGGGGGTCGCCATGGTGCAGAAAGCACACTGGACAGTCCAGAGAAGTCCCTTCAGGTACCTAGGGCCCCTCCCCCAGTCTTCTTTCCAGGTGCCCGCTGCGCATAGCCGGCCCTGGCACAAGCTCGGGTTTCCTTCCCTCTGCCCATCAACCGTGGTGGCTGAGGCCAGGGCCCCCGCGGGCACCCCCTCGCTGACCCTGCCCCTGTCTCCTCTAGAGCGGAAGGGACAAGGAGACCGTGGACAAGCTGCTCAAGGACCTGGACGCCAACGGAGACGCCACGGTGGACTTCAACGAGTTCATCGTGTTTGTGGCTGCGCTCACCTCTGCCTGTCACAAGTATTTCCAACAGGGGGGAGCCAAGTGACGCCCTGCAGACCTGGGTCCCTGAAGGGGGCTCAGGGCTGCCGGCTCCCAGAAAGCTCTTGGCTGCACTGATTTCTCTGGGCTGAGAGAGCTGACCGCCATCTGATGAATAAAATGTTTGCCAAAGGGGCCTGGTCTCAGAGACGCTGATTATTTCCTAAAGCCCCAGTGTCAACACACACACCCGAAGACCTCGCTGGTCTGCCACTGCATGCTCATCCCCTGCCCAGGGCAGGCGCAGAGAAGGGAGGACATGGGTCATTGGTAAGAGTCCATTCGCGGGCCGTTTCCTGAGTGCCCACCCTGTGCCAGCCTGATGGGTAAGGCATGGTCCCTGCTTATGTTGATTCGTCAGCACAGAGAGATCACCACCCTCTACTGGACCCCAGGGAGGATCGTGGGAAATCCCTCCGTTCATTCAGTCAGTCGGTCAGCAAACACTGGCCCCTCCATCTTCCAGCTCTCCACACATGTTTTTTCAGGTGACATCTTTTTTAAATTTTTTATCCTTACCCAAGGACACTTTTGCATTTATCTTCAGATAGAACAGGAGGGAGAGGGGGAGGACGAGAGAGAGAGAAACATCGATGTGAGAGAGACACATCGACCTGCTGCCTGCCACCCACACGACCCCAACCGTGCCGGGGACAAACCACAACCGAGGTACATGCCCTTAGCAGGAACCGAACCCAGGACTCTCTGGTCCACAGACCGACGCTCTAGCTGCTAAGCCAAACCGGCCAGGGCTCAGGTGACATCTTTGTAATGGTACAATACTACCTTTTCTCTTCTCCCGCAACGCAGTAACAGACTAGGGAAGAAACGAGCTGTAAGTGAGGAGGAATCAGAACCAGTGAACAGCTGGCCACCTCACCAGAGCTCACGGCTTGGGGGCACAGTCCTCAGACAGCACCCGGTGACTCAAGGGGGGTCCTGCGCACTAGGTCAGTAATGTGACCTGGTCCAGACGGCTGAGCCGCCTCTTCTGTGTGAAGATGTACCAGCAGAGCAGGAATGAGCTGCACCACTGACAGGAGGCTTTGGTGGGTCCCTCCAAAGGGGGAAGGGGTGGCCCATGTTTTTGTAGAGGGAGGGTTGCGTTCCATTAGGTAGAAGCAGGTACACACATTGAAGAAAAGCGTGGAAAGGCAAGTCAACGTGACGTGGGGGCACTGCAAGTGTGGACCAGCGTGGAAATTGCTTTCTCTTTCCTCTTGCTCCCTCCCACATCCTGCCGGCTAGGAGCCTGCAGAAGCTGCAGCCCACACCACAGCCCTACTCCTCGGCCTCGCTTGTAGCTGGGGTGCAGGCGCCTGACCTGGGACCCCCACACTCTGCCCTCACTCCAGACTTGGAGTCGGGCACTTGATGCCAAGAGGGGGGCCTAGCAACTGCCCAGGGTTCTGCAGCACGGCTGTCGGAGAAGTTCCCGGCTCCGGAGTCTGCCCTGGCTCTCGGGCCTCAGCAACCCTGAACAACTCACCATCTGAAAGGGGAGGAGTCTCTTCTGCATCATCACCTGGGGCGGGGGGGGGGGGGGAGTTCTGTGCCTTCCCACCGAGAACCCAGACTGCTGGAGCATGAAAATGGCCACCTGCCACTTCCTTTAAGGGTCCTTGGGGCTTCTTTGACAGGTGTTTACAAGTCCCAGCTCCCATTCATGAAGACAAGAGGACCCGCTCAGGGGCCGGCCCCCTCAAAGTGCCCTGCTCCCAGGCAGATCCTCTCTCTGGCACGTGCAGTCCCCACAGCTGCGCCGCTGCCCAGGAACATCTGCACCCCATCGTGGCTGCTCCCCAGCCTCCGGCCGAGAGATGACGTCGGTCTGGAGAACAGACCCCTGCCCCAAGGGACCGGCCTCTCTCGGCCCCTCTCCGGGGTCCCCGAGCAGGATGCAGAACACCTGCCCCTCGTGGGTGAAGTCCACAGTCACCTCTCTGGAGTTCACAACTTCCTGGGGGACACCTGCTTCCAGGCCCTCGTGAAGCCAACGCCATGTCCAGTCAGCGTTGTCTAGCGGCTGCACGAGTTCACTGGCCGGAGGGTGCCATCATTTGCTCATTATTAAGGACACAGTGTGGCAGGCAGGCAGACAGGCACGAGCCGAGCAAGGACGATGGCCAGGCACAGCAGGTCACCAGGGTGGAAGGCTCCAGGTGCCTAGCAAGGGGCAGAACTGGGAGAACAAGGACCTCGCCCCCAGGGTCACCTTTCCTCCCCTAGCATTTCACTGGTCATGCGGTTTGGACCCCTGAGCCTTCATATTGCTGGTCAGGTGGTTTGGACCCCCTGCCTTTTCCTCCCTAGAGATAGCATCCAGGCCTCCTTGTAGTTCAGCCCCAGGCCCAGAAAAGCAGCAAAGCCGGACAAGTGACATCAAGGACCAGCTGCATTGATAATGACCCCCTGCCCTGGGGCCCACCAATCAGTGGAGACCAGGACCCTGCAGAGCACACCTGGAAAGTAATGACTATTCTATTGAGACCTCCCCTGAGACCTCCCCTGAGATTCCCACCTGCCAGGGAGAAATAAAACCCTTCAGGACAAAGGACCCAGCTATGTGCTCTCCCTCTGGGGAGACATTCCCCTCCTTGTCCCTTAAACTCTCGGGGACCCCAGGAGACTTGCAACCAGGGAGCAGTGGGCAGGGGCAGCTCGTCCCGGGCTCACCCCTGCCCGTCTCCAAGGCCCCTGTTCCCTGACTTCCCAGGGAGCCGACGCAGCCTGGGCTCTCCTGCCACTTCTGCGCCGCCCCTCCCTGTCCCACTGGGTGCTTTCGCTGCGGCCGGTCCCTGTCCCACTGTCCTGGGTGCTTTCGCTGCGGCCGGTCCCTGTCCCACTGTCCTGGGTGCTTTCGCTGCGGCCGGTCCCTGTCCCACTGTCCTGGGTGCTTTCGCTGCGGCCGGTCCCTGTCCCACTGTCCTGGGTGCTTTCGCTGCGGCCGGTCCCTGTCCCACTGTCCTGGGTGCTTTCGCTGCGGCCGGTCCCTGTCCCACTGTCCTGGGTGCTTTCGCTGCGGCCGGTCAGCTCTCGCTTTGCTGTACTTCGTCTCTTGGTGGAAGTTTTTCCTTCAAGTAGACAAGAGCCGAGGTTTCCTCTCGCCGGTAACAATAGTTCTTATTTTTTGTTTTTAAAAAGTTGCTACAGTTAATATTTTCATGCATAAATCTTCATCTTAAGTGCAGATAATTTCCCCAAAATAAATTCCATTTTTAACCTATGATTACTAGGTCAAAGGAGAATTTTTTTTTACTGTGGTAAAAATATATGACAAAATGTACTATTTTAATCAGTTCTAAATGTACAGCTCAGTAGTGTTAAGAATACTCCCCTTGTTGTGCAACCGATCTCCAGAACTTTCATCTTGCAAAACTGAAACTCCAAACCATTAACCAACACCCCCTGCAAGCGCCTGGCAAACACTGTTTCATTTTCCGGGATTTGACTACCCTCGGGACCTCATGCAGTTCTCATGGTACCTGGTTCAGCCCACTGAGCGCAGTGTCCTCCAGGTTCAGCCCAGATGGCTCATCCCAGTTGTAGTGTGTCAGTATTTCCATCCTTTTTAAAGCTGAATAACAGTCCTTTATATGGACAGAATACATTTTGCTTATCCATTCATTCATCAATGGACACCTGGGCTGCTTCCAGAATTTTTAAAATATGTTTCATTATTATTATTTTAGAGAGAGAGAAAAAACATCGATGTGAGAAACATGGATGGATGGGCTGCCTCCTGCACGCCCCCTCCTGGGGATCAAGCCTGCAATGCGGGCGCGTGCCCTGACCGGGAATCTTAACTGGGACCTCTCAGTCCATGGGGTAACGCTCAGTCCACTGAGCTGCACCAGCCTGGCACTTCCACAATTAGGAGATGTGTATGTATATAAAATATATATATTTAGCCAATGTCAAGTGTCTCTCCACTATCATGCTTGGGAATTGTTTGATTTTCTCCAGCAGAAGCCAGGCTTGGGCTGTCACCAGCGCCCCCTGCTGATGATTTTCAGAATTGGTCCTAGGCTAAGCTGTGTCCCCCAAGTGAGGACTGTGCACGTTCACCTTCTTCAGGTGGAGTGCCATAGTGTCCGTGGGTACTGGGACCACCATGGGCTGGCTACCTCCTGGCTGAACACAGCCAGTCATGTGCCCTGTCTGCTGGTCCCAGCCTAAACTCACAACTACATTCTGAAGGCCTGTCGCCTGGGTCCTCTCGGTGTCACAAGAGTGGACCCAAAGAGCTGCCCTCCACCACCTCCACCACAGCGTACCACGATGTCACTCCTTCCTGCTCAGAAACAACTCCGACCTGCAGGGACTGCTGCGCCATCGCCAGCACCCCGCCCCATCCACAAGGCGCCTTGCCTGTCAGGAAAACAGCACCCACTTCTCCTGCAGGCTCTCTTCCTACACACCAAGGCCCCGGGCATTTCTAGAACATTCCTCCCTCTCCCTCTTGCCAAAGCCTTGAGTACTTGTTGCCCAGCTACACGCCCTCTCCCCCTTCCCAGCTGCCATCCTCCCTCCCGGGCCCCTCGTTCACATGCACTTGGGAACCTCCCTCCTTGGCCCAGTCCTGGGTGTGCACCAGGCCCCGTTCCACAGCATAGCCCTCTGGCCCCTGACTTCTGTCTCCAGGGATCCGTTCTCCTTGCTTGGCCACCCTGGGACTGTCACTTTGCAGATTACAGGCTGTTTTTGTTTTTGTCTTGGAGAAATTCTTTCCATTTGAGTTTGTCTGATGTTTCCTCGCCACCAGGTCTGAGTCATGTATCTTTGGTGAGAATGTCGCAGAAATGACATTCTTATCAGATGGCACACGTTTTCAGTCCTCCCTCTAACCGGTCGTGGTCACTTTGATCACTAGATTAAGATGGTATTTGAAAAAAATGGTCAGTTCCAGAGCTGGGGCCAGATATGTCTTGCTGTATCTAAACATCTTGTCCTGACAGAAAGTAAGGACATGTTCAGAGAATGACCGGAATATATCAGGACACAGAAGCGGGCTTGAACTGGCTGCCACTGGCCCAATCACATACTTCATCATGGAGTTATTCACTCGTTTCGCTTTTATAACTAATGGGCACTTTGTATTGAGTACTTTGGAAGTACATACGTATTCTGTTCCCGAAGCATTTAATTTATTCATGTATTCATAATTATACAAAGTCATAGTCTCCCATCTTATTCAAGGAGTTGTATTGGTTACTACTATTACTTGTTCTGATGATCAAATTATCCCTAATTTGCCAGTGGGAGCCTATTCAAGCTGGCCTCTGTGTCCTTTTGATATATCACTAATGTTTTCTGAACATTTCCTTTCTTTCTTCCATAGAAAGATGTCTGGATACATTTTATATTTCCCTTGCCCTGGCTCTGGAATTGATCATTTCTCCAAGCAGCCCTAGTTCCTTGTAGTGGAAAATAGCATTTAGAAGCCAAGATCTAAGAGCTAAGTGTGCTCACTGTTACTGGGTGTCACTGCTCCCAGACCCTCCCAATGGACAGAACTAAGGAATATTTGTAAGTATATATTTATATAGACACCCACATCTACAGTTCTATTACCTATCATATATATAAACATGTTTCTAAGCACAGGAAGTCTGTGGGGTGCCTCACAGAGAAAAACGTAAGGTAAATCAGGTTCACTGAGGCATGTGTTACAGCGCCATTGGATGTGAGTTTAATGTTAATGAACCAACAGTACATATTAAATAATGTGTCTTTTAACAGAAACACACATAAAACAAGATTATGTATTGATTGGTTGATGTAAATGTGGCCAGAGGCTGGCAGGAACCTAACCCTGCTTTTCCCCTGAGGGCAATGATTCAGTGTTTGCTAATTCAGTGTCTACGGTGACTTTATAGAACTACTGCAAATAACAAAAATCAGCTGTACAAACTCACACACACACACACCCATCCCTTTAGGAACTGCAACCACCTGGCAAAACTGCAGCCTTCTCTAGGGCTTCCCCCAGGAAGTGGAGTGTGTGGGGAACACACACACTGAGGCTGCAGAGAGGCCAGACCTTGGTTGAAGTAGGTGTTAGAGTCTGTAAATAGGTGGGAGGAAGGGAAGCCATAAGGGAGAAAAGATGGGACATTCTGAGGGTGAAAATTTGAGAGAGAGGACCAGGGAGGGGGCTTACATTTGGGGCTGCAACTGGGGAAAACAAGGATGAGACAAATGATGCAGCTTTAAGATGGAGAAATTCTTGTGTGTGTGTGTGTGTGTATGAACTATATGTGTTGAAGAAATGAACACACTCGTCTCTAGGTAACATCCTCTCGATTTCTCCTGCTCTCTGGGCATCTCCACTACTAAAATGAGGCTCCAGGGAGAGATTTTGGACTGTCTGTCCAGTGCTATATCACCCAGTGCCTAGAACAGTGCCCAGGATACAGCAGAAGCTAAGTAATATTGATGAATAAATAAAAACAACTGTGGTAAAATAAATTTTAAAATGGTTTGAACTGACATAGCCCAAGTGTCTAAGCCAGAAACTTCCGTTTGAATGATCTGCATGGGTAAGCATACACGTTTAAATTTAAATTTAACTTACATACTGCATTGGCCCTCATTCTTTGAAAGAGTATTAAGCACCAACCATGTGACAGCAAGAAGAAACTAGGGACAGGAAGGAACCCTTCCTGGCCCTGGACATGTTCTTTCTCTTGATCTGGACGGAGGCCCCACGGTTGTATGGATATGCAAAAACTAATCAATCTGCGCACATACGACGTATGCACTTTACTGTTCTGATACACCTTCATTTTTTTCTTTTAAATTCTCACGAAGAACATTTTTCCATTTTTTGTTCAGGTAGAGTAGGAGGGAGAGAGATGAAGAGAGAGAGAGAGAAACATCTACGTGAAAGGGACACATTGAGTAGCTGTCACCCGCACGACCCGACCAGGGCTGGGGACAAACTGCAACCGAGGTACGTGCCCCTCATGGGAACCAAACCGGGTCTCTCTGGATCGCAGGCGACACTCTAACCGCGGAGCCAAACCAGCCAGGGCTACCCTTTGCATCTTAAATAGGTTCTAAATGAGGGCGTGCGCACAGACCACTGGGCGCGCGCGAGTGTGAGCGTGCGCGCGCTCGTTCATGCGCGCTCGTGCCGCAAGAAGGGGCGTATGCTGCGCGCGCGCGCGCGAAGACCGGAAGCAGGGCGTGCTGCTGTGCGTGCGCGTGCGCAGAGGCCGGACGCTGGCTGGCAGCCCGGAAGTGGCGGGCTATGGAGGGTCGCTCCGCGGGTCGCGGGCTCTCTCGCGAGGCGTCGGTGGAAGAGGCCGAGCCCCAGGTGGACAGCGGTAACGTGTCCCAGAGCCACAGCAGCGCGTCGGGGCCGTGGGAGGACGAGGGCGCGGAGCTGGGCGCGCCGGGACGCGACCTGCCTCTGCTGCGCCGCGCCGCCGCGGGCTATGCCGCCTGCCTGCTGCCCGGAGCGGGCGCGCGGCCCGAGGTGGAGGCCCTGGACGCGAGCCTGGAGGACCTGCTCACCAGAGTGGACGAGTTCGTGGGCATGCTGGACATGCTGCGCGGCGACTCGTCCCACGTCGTCAGCGAGGGCGTGCCTCGCATCCACGCCAAGGCCACGGAGATGCGGCAGGTCTACGGCAAGATAGACCGACTCGAGGCCTTCGTCGGGATGATCGGCGCCAGCGTGGCCAGAATGGAGGAGCAAGTGGCCCGGGCGGAGGCCGAGCTGGGGTCTTTCCCCAGTGCATTCAGAAAACTCCTGCACACCATTCCCGTGCCCTCCATCTTCAACAAGGCGCCCTCCAGCAGGCCCCAGCCCACCGGCTACGAACCCCCCGTCCTGTTCCGCACCGAGGACCACTTTCCCTGTTGCAGCGAACGACCTCTGATCTGAGTCGGCCCGACCACACTGCAAGAGGATGCTGCCACCTGAGATTATCTCGAGGATTAATTAAATCGATTGCAAGTCCAGTTAATAGACATTGGATGTCAGAGTGTGGGATTTGTTATGTGCACACTCTGTCTCCCACGGCCTATGCTTTTTTATGTCTTCCAGTGTTAACCCAAAAGCTGCTTGGTGGGAGCCATCGGGTTAGCAAAATGAATAAACTTGTCGGTGCACTGTGGCAAAACTGTTATTTTTATGGATTTTACAGCTCAACAAACAGTATTACCTTTTCAAGATTTATATATTTATATACTCTCTAGAAAAACTGCTGAGCCATTAAAGCTTTGTTATAATTTGATCCTAATGGTGATTCATTTTGCTATCGCTTAGTGTTGTGGTCGGTGGTAAATTATTTAACATTATATTAAACTGTCCATATGGATTGTAAACCGAAGGAAATTGTACAGTTTCTGAGAAAATGTACCGATTTATTGCAACTATTTATTGTATTTGAAAGTATAATATCAGAACCTTAATTTGCCCATAGCAAACATGTCTATCTAATGGTTGCGAAGGTGTGGTTTATAGTTCAAATATTAATAAAATTTTTAAATGTTTCCTTCTGAAAAGGACTTGACATATTTCCTTTTGTGTTGGTTTTAAAATAAGACTTGTTGCTCATTATTTTAGGAACAGGATCAAGAAAGGGGCTTGGGAGTACCTCCTTTACAAGGCTGATGTGAAAAACTAGCCGTAGCTACCTACCGGGCATGTGTTCCTTTCCCTTCAAACAGAACAGTTCAATCATTCGTGTGGATGACTGGTGTTAGGTTTTGTTCTTTCACCCTGACAACATAGACCACTTGCAGGTACAGCAGGCTGCGGGCTTGATCTTAATCTGTTTTATAAGCTGATTCTAGACAGTAGACCTCAAGCCTGCAGATGGCTTAGGTGGCTTTTGTGTCATTTATCACAGGTCTTTGTGGTTGATGGAACAGATATGACCCTCACTTCACCACAAATAATGAAAAGTCTGATAATAGATCTCAACCTTCACTTTCACGGACCTTCCATGTTGTTAACATTCATACCTTTTCAGGTAGGTCACTGATTACAGATTGAAGAACTGATTCAGAAGCTGAAAGAACAAGTAAGCTACATTTAACATTTGGCAACTACTGGGTATGTAAGTAATTAACATATTCCTACAACATAGTCACTGAATATGAAAATAAATTCCTTAGATAATGTCTATGTTGCTAAAATGGTTTTTAAACTTATGGTTAATATTAAACAGCAGGTAATAATTAGGACAAATGAAAAAATAGAATAAAAATAAAGGCTGAGATTTAGTATCTGAGTAATAGACACCCTAAGTTCCAGAAAGCATATGTTAACAAGTGTATTATAAAGTAAAACTTTCTTAATTAGGAATATATAACGGTTAGATATTTACTTTCATTACCTACAAAAGAAGTAAACTGAATTGAGAAAATGAAAAGTATAGTAACCAGCCCTGGCCCGTTTGGCTTAGCGGTTGGAGCGTCGGCCTGCAGTCCAGAGAGACCTGGGTTCGGTTCCCGCTAAGGGTGCATACCTCAGTTGCAGTTTGTCCCTGGCCCTGGTTGGGTTGTGCGGGTGGCAACCACTCAATGTGTCCCTTTCACGTCGATGTTTTTCTCTTCCTCTCCCTCCCTCTATCTGAACAAAAAACAAAAAAATGTCCTCAAGTGAGGATAAAAAAGAAAAGTATAATACCAGTAAAAAGGTGAAATTCAACAGTTTTTAAAGTTAACCTATGTTCCCTGGTTGGTTTGGCTCAGCGGTTAGAGTGTCGGCCCACAGACCAAAGAGTCGCAGGTTTGATTCTGGTCTAGGGCACATACCTCAGTTGCAGTTCAGTCCTGATCCTGGTCAGGGTCCCCAATCGATGTGTCTCTCTCAAATGGATGTTTCTCTCTCTCTATCTCCCACTCTTATCTGAAGATAAATGGAAAAATATCCTCGGGTGAGGATTTAAAAAGAATAAAGTTAACCATATGTAATTTTCTGGCAATGTATTTTTTAAAGCTCTGATTTGGATGATAACTTACACGATGATATGTGCAGCTTGACTCTAAGGGACCTAGGGCCTGAAGTTCTGTCAATGGGTGTTGTTTGTGGGGTTTCTAGGAGAGATCAGTGCAGGCCAGTGGTTGGTGGGGGATTTGAAGCTGGTTTGCAGAGCACCAGACAGATTAGATAAAGGTCATTTGTCTCAAGAGTGAGGGTTGGGGAAGCCAGGTACCCCATTCTCTTAGGCACTGCCACCTCCAGACCCGGCTCCCTCCTGTCCCACCCCTGACGAACTGGATCTTGGAAAACTGGTCCTTCTACCTCCTTGTAAGTCAGTTAAGAAGTTAAGAGGGAGCTGGAGGGGGAGGCTCAGTGGTCTTGGGTGACCGCTGCAGACCGTCTTGTCTGCTGAGTAGGAAGCTCCTTGACTTTCTGGGAGAATAAACAGGGATGGAGTTTAATTAAATGTGAGAGGGGCCGCCCACCAATCACATTGGAGCCAATTAACTTGTTCTTTGCTCCCACCCGAGAACACAATAATCACGGCGTTTTCAGGAGTCCAGGACATGCCCTCAGTCCCAGGGCAACCGGGCAGCCAGGCGTTAATTCATCCGCACACCAAACTGGGTGCTGGGAGCTGGGGAGCACCTGTGGCTTCTTGTTCCTCAGGCCAGAACTTGCAGGAATATGGTTCTTGGCTTGTGTGTGAGGGGCGGGCCTTGGAGTCAGCCTGGTGTGAACCTGCTGACTGGTGGAGGACGGGCCAACGAAGGGCCAACAGTAAGGAGAACTGCAGGCGGCCAGGTCTCAGCGACTCTCTCTGTCCTGTGTCTGCTGCAAAGCGCCACAGACAGAGCGTAAACAAGTGTGCAAAGACGACTTGTAAAAACAGGTGCTTCTTGAAACACAAGAGACATACTGAGAGGAAAAAACGAATAACGGCCAGGAATTTAAAGTTTTAAACCACTGTGGCTAAACGGCTGTCGAAGGGGCAGTGTGGGGAGAGGTAACGCTTTAGTCCCCAGGGACTTTTTTCCTGCTGCTTAAAGTGAAGGGGAAAGATGAGCTCGGGGTGGCAGAGTCCAGGTCACCGCTTCTCTTAGACAAGAGACACGAGTCACGAGCAGGTGGAGCCCAGTCAGGGTTCTGTCTGCCTGGTCATCCCCACTTTTTCTTTACCAGAAACTGCGCATGGACCCTCTCACAGGAGTAGCTTGTAATGATCTGTTTTGTTTTGGTTTGTTTCTTATCCTCACCGGAGGACATTTTTCCATTTTTTGATCAGATAGAGTGGGAGGGGGAGAGAGAGAGAGAGAGAAACATCGATGTGAAAGGTGCACATCAAGTGGCTGCCACCCGCCCAACCCAACCAGGGCCGGGGACAAACTGCAACCAAGGTACGCGCCCTTAGCGGGAACCGAAACCAGGTCTCTCTGGTCAGCAGGCCGACGCTCTAACCACTGAGCAACCGGCCAGGGCGTAATGATCTGTTAATAGAGCTAACATTCGATTCTCAATACGACTGCGGGCACCACCGAAAACATCCCAAATGCACCTTCTCCTCTGCCCGTCCCACCCCGCCCCATCTCACCTGCCCACTTGGTCTTGAAAGTGGTTCCCCTGCCCCCTCTCCAAGCCCCTCCCCACGAGGCACACAGCAGCCAATGGGGTCTGTGAGAACCATAAATCAGATATATTGGGCTTTGCCCAAAACCTTCAATAGCTTCTCATTACATTGGAATAAAATCCAAATTCTAGTGTGGGCAAAAAAGGGGCCACATACTAACCCTGACAAGCTCAGGGGAGGCCTGCATGGCGGATTTACAAACCTAGAGACCAAGGTAATCACATAGGATGGTCTGAAATTAAAACTTTCTAACTAGCCCTAGCCAGGGTGGCTCAGTTGGTTGGGTGCTGTCCCCAGCACCGAAGGGTTGCCCGTTCAATTCCTGTTCTGGGTATATGCTCTGGGTGTAGACTCATTCCAGGTAGGGGGTGTGCAGGAGGCAGACCAATGTTTCACTCTCACATCGATGTTTCTATCTCTCTTCCTCTCTCTTCCCCTCTCTCTAAAAATCAATAGAATCTTAAAAAAAAAAAAAAGCTTTCTAACTAGAATTAGCAAGTCATGGCTGGTAATAACTGCTAACTGCCCTGTACCCAGCAATGTAGAAGAAGTATGTGTCTTGCTCAGCCAGCGTGTCTCAGTGGATTGAGCATCGTCACACGGTCTGAGAGGTCCCAGTTCGATTCCCAGTCAGGGCCCATGCCTGGATTTGGGCTCCATCCCCAGCAGGAGGTGGCCAATTGATGTGTCTCTCTGGCATCGATGTTTCTATGTCTCCCTTCCTCTCTCTCTAAAAAATCAATAACAACATATCAAAAACAACCACGAAGTATGTGTCTCTTTTACTTTTTATCTCATCTCAGAGGTCTCCCTGCTTTACTGTCTCTCACCTCGCTAATCTATTGCCAGTGAATTTCATGTAAACCCTTAGCCTTCCGCTTTGAATCTGATGCATAAGATAAATGGTAAAACTGCCATTTCCCACAGCATTCTCTCAATCCGTTGAGATTTCGCTTCCTGGCAACTGTCAGCTCAGCTCAAATGAACTCATAAAAATTCTCTACAGGTTTGGACATTTCTTACAGTGACACTGTTCTGCAGCCTGCCAGGCCCTGCAGCCCCTGCCCCATCTTGCCCCTCTCTCCCTCACTCATGCCCCTCCTGCCTCCCCTCGGTCCTGGAAGATGCCCGGTGTGGCCCTGCATGGCACTTGCCACAGCTGTGTCTGCCTCACCACCTCAGGGGGCTTGGGCTCTGCCCATCCTGCTGGACTCACCTGTATTCTCAGCCAGTGATGGCATGCCTGGCACCCTCAGAGAGCTGTCGAATGACCGTCAGACTGGTGGAGTAAGTGAAGGGCTAGACAAAAACGAGGGGAGACAGAAAGGCAAATACACTAATCCAATCAGATGTTTCCTGGGAAATCAAACACCACAGGTGGGCTGAGGACACAAATTAAAATAAGCTGTCATTGTCCCAAGAGCTGGGCCTGTCCACAGGAGAGAAGGCCAGGCGCCAACTTAGTCCAACCCAGGTTGGGGGCCCAAACTTGTTAAATCCACAGGAATTCCTGTGGGCTGCAGGAAGCTTGTCCTTACTTGGATGTTGATATAGAATGTTTAGGCCTGCCTTTCTTTTACATGCCCAACGGTTAGAAACCACTTGTTAAAAGCCATTTTTCACTGGCTGCTGTGGCTCCATGGTTACAGCGTCATCCCGCCCACCAAATGAGTGAGTTTGATTCCCTATCAGGGCATATACCCAGGTTGTGGCCAAATGTTTCTCTCTCCCTCTCTCTTCCTCTCTCTCTAAAGTCAATGAAAAACATATCCTCAGGTGAGGGTTTAAAAAAACCAGAAACATTTTTCAAACTGGCCTAAATCGTTAGTCCCAGCAACAGGAAATGTACTGCTGTTGGAATGAGTCTTCCTTGTGATCTTTACCCTCACAGAGGAGGGGTCAGGGTGTGGTCAGACCCTGGGTGGGAGGAAGGGAGTAGGGGTTGTCCAGGCCTCCTCCTAAAGGCGTGTGCCAGTCCAAATGGCTGCAGGAACGGCCCCTCCCCAGCAGGAGGCGCTGGCGGAGCAGAAAAGGCCGCCTGGAAGCAGCTGATCCAACCCAGCCTTCAGGAACTAAAACACACCATCCGGCAGTCATGGCCCTGGGCGCTGGAGGTTCCGGGCTACAGGCCCTGTCCACCCTGAAGAGCTCACAGCGTGGGGACCTCAGCTGTACCCCAAGGCTGCTCTCCGTGCATGGGGAGTGGGAGGAAAGGAGGGGGGGATGGGAGGGCCCAGGCCGGTGGGACAGCAGATGAGGGCCCTGGCCCTCACCCTTTGCAGTCCTGGTTCTCTGCCTCTGGAAGGAACATGCTCACTTATTTAGTTGCTTTTTTTTTTTCTGTCTCCTAACCAGGACAAGGAGTATGGCTTTTTTTCTGT